TTATTCACAAAGACAGGAAATATTTATAAGAGTAATTTTGATGGGAAGTGCTGAGTATGAACATAGGATATAGGATTATTGTGGAATAACCAATGACTTCCAAGTAATTTTAAATATAGGACTGAAGTTCAGGAGAGATAGAAGTTTGGATTTTTTTTTTTGGAATCCTTCCTTTATTGTATAGAGATAAAAGAACAAAAAAAGAACAAGGACAGATAAGCTCTAGAGAGCACCAATCATTAAACAATACTCAGAGGAAGATCTATAAATACAAACTGAGGAATGGCTGGAAAGATAAGAAGGAAGCTAGGAAGTAATGATTGTCCACGGGAATCCAGTGAGAAAAAATTTTTAAATTCAGATAGAGATAAAATTAGATAAGTTCTGTAGATATTCACTGGCAAGGAAAGGATACCCTATAAGAACCTCTTTAATTATGTTCAACAATAGGATGATAGACTGAGGATTGAAGTCGGTGAGAAGTAAATGAGCAACGAAGAAGAGAAGGCTGTGTGTGACTAATGAATCTCAGGAATTTTACAAGGTGCTGGGAAAGGTGTGATCTCTACTAGAATATGCAATCTCCAAAGGTGCTAAAATATGTAATCTCCATTATACACATTCCTATGTCTCTTCAGTGACAAAGAAGCAGACAGCTTTTTCCTAGTGCATTAAACTCTCTGTTTGTAAATTAGCTGTATGAATTCTTTCATATCACCGTAGCCATTCCTACATGTACAAGACATTTCACTAAAAAGTGAAAATGTAGCCAACCAGCAAGGCATTCGGGTTGCACAGCATTCGGTCGTGAGTTTGAAGGACTATGACACTGAGTTGATCAGTAGTTCTGGTCTCATGCAAATCCATTCTTTGTTTCCCTTCGATGACTCTCCAATAGATACAACAATAAACAAAATAGACAAACATGTGTGTCCTCAAGAAGCTTACATTTAAATACAGAGAGAGAAAACCACAATCAACAAAATAAATAAGTAAAATATATTGTATGCTAGGTGGCAAACACTTCTGAGAAAAAAATTTAAGCAGGGAAAGATACTGGAGTTTTTGTTTGTGAGTGGGGATGATGAAATATGAGAACCAGTGAGAACTCCACTGAGGTAACATTTGAGTAAAAATCTAAAAGTACTACAGGATTAAGCTATGGAGATACTTGGAAAAAGAAGACAAAAAACCAAATATCATGAGTTGAATGAGTGTCTGGAATAGTCTATTAACAGAAAGGAGATAAATATGGCTGGAGAGAGATGGAAAAGGAAAGTAGTGAGAGACAATATCATAGAGGCAATAGGGAAAGAGAATCTAGATTCTGGGTCATTGTTAAGACTGTGCAGAGTGATTTTGAATAGGAAAAATGATTCTTGAGTTCTAAGGGACATCTTAAAATATAACGTATCATTTTCATATTTGCCTCTTCTTTCTTTTGAGGGTGGTGTTTCTTTACTACTTCCCAGATCTTCTTGGCCCCATTATAAAAACTCTCGTCTCAAAGACTAGAGAAACTAATTATTCACTTCATTGAGCGTGGAGAGACAGTTTCAGGAGATGCATTGAAAGCAGTCACTGTGCCATTCAAAAGGCTGATAGTAAGAACAACATAGAAATTTAGAAGAACCTTTTCCAAAGCTTGAAGAGAGGGTAATGGGTTGAAATTAGTTTCTGTGTTTTCTTGGCAAAATATTCACTAGGAAAAAGAAAGCTTTTACATGAAAAATTTTAAGATAGCTCAAGAAATGTACACCTTTGCAATTAAAATACTACCTTGCAAATAAAGCTCCTCAAATGGAATATGTATCTTTGGGTAATGACAGAGAAGAAATGCTGAAGAAAATAAGCTGAGGACCTCCTACATATATATATTTTTTGCATTTGCATTATTGTGGTAGCTTTTAGTTGCCTTCTTGAATATTTCTGAAGTAGACTTTTCAACTGGAGTTTATATATTTAATTGGTTCACACAAGTAGTAAAGAAAAAGGACAGTTGGGTAAAAAGGATGTGGCACCACTAATTCAATTGTGGCCTCACCTATTAGAACCAGTGTATGATTTTTAGATAGTATGTAGTCACAAATTTGGAAAACTGAATTTTCATTCAGACTATGATGTTAATTAGCATTTTATTACTCTGGATATCAGTTTTCTCACCTGTAAAATAAGCAGCTGAATGGAAAGTAACTACACATTTCTTATTAAGAAGATCTATGATAATCAGCTGCCATGGACAGAGTTGAGTCTAGCTTCTCTAAAAAAGATCCTTGCTTAGTAGTTCCTTAGGATTTTCTGCCCAAAGATGTCAATGACACAGCACTAACCCCTCTTTTTCCCCTCCATAACAAACAGATCACATTACTTCTTATTGAGTCAGAACTCAGGGTCAGGATCATTTTTTCTCCTATAGTGTCTAAGCAACCATAATCAAATAATCAGAAGATAGTACTTAAGTTGAAAACAATTTGCTATTAATCATTAAGAACATGGCCATATCAAAGGCAAAAGTTCCTAGTATAGTTAAGAAGAGCACTTATGTCCTGTCAGCCAATTTCTGTGATCCCTAAGGCATTCTAACATGTCATTAGTTCCATCAGCATAAGCAGCTGCAGCGACCCTGGGCTTAACCAAAATGGATCAATTAGGTTTTCAGTCAGAGACCTGAATATATAGAATTAATTTCCCATCTTTATGAAGTCTGCCTCTGTCCTGAGAGAAGAGCTTTCTGTAAAAGTAGCAAACTCAGACATTCAACAAGTAGAGAAGTCAATGACTTCTTTATCTTTGTTATCCCACCCACTCATTTTCTTATTACCCAAATCTGTATAAACTTAGATCAAAAAGTCTGTGTTTGTTTCAGTTCTGATGAAAAGTACTAACAATGTTGTTAGATAACTGTGATGAATTTTAATCTGATGACAGCTTGTGACCCACAAATTACTGTTTAAAATTAAATTGCATTTAAAATGAAACTGGCAAGATAGCCACAATATTAAACTTGCAATCTGCTATGATAAAACATCTATCTAAAACACTACATTAAGTATAAATACAGATAATTTCTATATAGAATATTGCAAATTAAATATAAAAAGCCCTTCAGTGTATTGCTTTATTAAATAAAATTGGTTGAATAATCTTATTTTATATCTTTTTTTTCAAATTGAGAAGTCAAAGTAGAGATGGATTGGCTTAGCTTTGGCAATTCACCCTTTGGCAGAGCTCCAGGTATAATCTAGGGCTACAGACTTCTAGGATTCTTCTTTGATGAACAAAAGTCCTCTATTTTCCACATCCCAAATGCTTATCTACAACAAATTTAAAATTTTTTTACATGCTTAATTTATTTACAAATAATTACTCAAAATGTATTAAATGTGATCTTTAAACCTTGTTTATATATTAGCTTTGAAAAATAACTACACTGAAATTTTGGAAGACCAGCTAAATTATTACTAAACTTGACAAGAATTGAGAATATTTCTGGTAATGAATGTTTGGATTCATGCTATTATTGAACAATAATGATGTAAATAATACTCAACCCAATGTGTATATTTTCATCCCATATTTCATCATTAAAAAATTGCATGTAGTAACAAAAGAATTCATAACAGCTGTCTGCAAATAATTTAATGACCATGTAATAGTTATTTCTTGGTTTTCAAAAGATACCAAAGAACAATATAAACCCTCACAGTATAACATAATTATAACAATTAACATGTGTACTTAATTATAGCTTTAATGCTCCTGTACATTAGTGCTCAAAAGATTCATAACACATTTGAGTAATATTAGTTAGAAAAAGAAAAGACCATATTTCACTTCGACTATTGCACACAGAAGAGAAATCACCCACTCTTTTTAAAAATACACCACAAGGATTGTAATTTCACAATTATTCTTACTCATTACTCATCTGGGACATAGTATTCACTCAGTGAACGCTGGTTGAAGAAATGAATGAATATGTGTGATCAGATGAGAAGGAAACTCAGGGAAAATGCCAAGTCTTTGGTTGTCACAGGACTGCTGCATGGACAACTGCTGTCGCAGTAGGGCTCCTAACATCTCTTTGCCATATTTTATTTTGGTTCATATGTGTGTAAAAACGATAAGGGATGAAGTCCAGCAAGTCTGTACATTACACAGAGGTGCCACATATTCAAAAAGCAGGGACATCACACATAAAATTCCCCAGGTACTTTCTAAGGTTTGCTTCCATATGCGACTCGATAGTGGCTCTGGCGCTTCAAATCTATTTATATTTGGGTGCAGTCTTCCTGTTACTCTTGGTCAGACCTCATCAAATCTGTCCTAGGGCCAGTACCTATCCTAGGGTTGTCAGCTTTGAAAACTGATTGGATTTTTGCTTAACGCCAGCAGGCGCTGACCATGGTACTGACAGAGAAAGGATTCTATTTGAAACCTTTCCTTTCTCTTATTGGTCTAGAAAATTCGAGTGACAAGAGTTGGGGCCAAAGAAGCCTGGAGCAACATCATTAATGTGAACCGTGTATTTCGGACTTCAGGGCGGAGACGTGGTCCATCAGGTTACAGTCAATGCCTCCCAGTGAGTGCTTGCTAAACCGAGACCTTAGGAACGTAACCGCTGCAGTAGAAAAAAGCTGACATCCAGCAGGGTATCTCGTCCCTCTCCTGGAAGATTGGCAGTAAGTGCATAGCCCAGAAACAGGAGCAGGGAGTCTAGAGGGAGGGGAGGGGAAGGGGGTAGCTAACCTGTATTCATATTGACAATGATATTCACTCTTATTTGTACAAGGTAAAGAAAAAATCAAGAGCTAATTTTAGCGTAAGTTTTCGGTCTTCCAACAGGTGCTTGGCTCCCTCACTCCCTTCCCTGCCAGGTGCTGTCCTGCTTTAGCTTCTTAAGGCTTTCTGTGCGAGGCAAGCTTCTCCTGAGAGTCCTTAAGCATGTGCAATTTCCCATCTCCTCCACAGCCCCAGCTCCACGCCTGGCAAACCCTTACCTGCAGCATGAAGATTAAGAAGCTGGCACAGCGCAAGGAAATCGACTGCTCTCCGCATGGTGTTTGCATTGAGAGGTGGAGGAGAAACTCCGCCACAACCCCACTTCAGGCAAAGTGCTCTTAAAAAGAGCCACTGCCAAAGGTCTTCTGGTCTGTCGGATTCGTTCCCAGGTCCCGGCTGGGGTTTGCAGGAAGGTCTGTGGCGCCGACAGAAACGAGCCCCAGCTTCGCCTCCCTAACAGGGAGAGAGGAAGAAGGGAAGGAGGCTGCGGGTAACCGGGACAGACACGCTCAGGGGCGGCGAATGCTTGGCCTTCTGGACGCTCAGCAGCCGCGGCGAGGACGGCAGGGTGGACTCCGTGCCAGCACAGGAGCCCAAGAGCCCAGCAGCGCGGCGGCCGGTGCAGTGAGAGCAGCAGCCCAGACGCGCCGCGGCTACTGAGCATGCCCAGCGCAGGCCCTCGCACGGCGGCGGAGTTTCAAAGTGAGATTCCACTTCTCCGGGTCTTAGCGGCGGCTGCGAGGGGAGCCGGCTCCGCTGCCGAGGCCGCGTGGGGTGGGGGAAGCGGGGGCGCGGGAGGATGGAGTGTTATTAGGGACCAAGAGTCCATCCAGATCCGAGGGTGGAGTGGAAAAGAGTCGGACTAGATGGGGGCATGGCCAGAGGAACCAGAGGAGGGAGCTAAAGACTGCCAACCACGCCACCCCCTCTACTTCTTCCCCAAATCTTGATTGACACGTGGACCGGGCTCACTGCTGGGAATTGGCACCTGCAGATTGACCAGTTTCCTAAATCCCAAGACTCGCCTACAGGAATATAGATGTCTTTCACTGCTGAGCATTCTGAGCTGCTTGGGGAAGCGTTACCAAGGCAGCTTGCTCGCTGTAAGCAGTAACCATGTGTCCTAGGGGTGCCTTCTTCCTTCCTGCTTCCTCTTCTTTGCTTCTCTTTCCCATTTCTCCAGCTCAATCCCTGTGTTTAAATTTTCTTCTGACTCAAGTCTAAAATCTATGATCATATTGCCAGAAAAAAGTGAGGCCATACTTTTAGACGAGTAGGATACACCCTTGTAATTGAAGCAAAAGAAGACACCTTTTTGTATAATGAAGATAATTATGTTTAGCCTCCAGTTTACTCTTTAAGGTGAAAAATAAGAGTCATTTCCTGTAACTGAGCTCTTTTGGTCCAGCTCTGTATCTCTAGGGAGACTGCCACAGTCTGCCTAATATGAATGGCTTTTATTCCCTCATCTAAGTCTTTGGAGTGTAGAGATCCTTATTAGCGGTGGCTAATTGCTCCTCGTCAAGAAGTCTGGCAGCTCGACTTCTCTCCCTGGGCTATCCCAGGACCACTGAATTTCTGCTTCAGTGTCTTCGCGGATCTGCTGTTTCGTCCCTAGTCGCCTGCATCACTACCACATTAGAGCATCCAAGACTTAACTTTGGTCTCACTTTTCCAGAAATTCCTGGACTAACTCTAAGTTGTAGTGATCTTTCCCTTCCGCAACATCTGTTTAGCACTGCTTCATATTTTTTGCTAAGATAGTCCATTTTTCTGTGGTTTGTCTTTGTGTCAACAGTCGAAGAAACTTTGTATTAAATTGAATAAAGTTGTTCTAGCCAAATAAAAGGGGCTAATAGGTGCTCATTGAGCTGAGCTGCATATCTCATTCAATGCTTTCTTTCTCCATCCTCTGTGAATTGGGACAACTAATGGGAAATAGGCTACTCACCAGATCTTAAATTAGGCAGTATCTCATAGGATCTGAGAGTCCAATATTATTCATTTCTTTTATAATTTATATCATCTCCAGCTCTGAGAGATAAGTGCACTGGAATTGCACTCCAACAGGCAGGAGAAGCAGAGAATGAGATGTATTTTTAATACCCTGACAGGTTTTCTTTGCTGAAAATAGAGACATATGCAGTCCCTTTCTAGCCACTCCACTTTCCATGTGGGTGTGGTACGCTACATTTTGGTGGCACTATCATTTCGCTCTAAATCACTGTAAACCACAATTTCTTCCCCTACTCCAGATTCACTTTTCCCCAGTTTCCTTTTCCCACTTAACTTTCTAACATACCAAAATAATTACTTATGAAACCTATTGTTTGTTATCTATTTCCCTACCACTGCCCACAATGGAATCTGCACTTCAGTGGCAGAAACCTTTGACAACTTTATTCACTGATATGTGCCAACTGGGTAGAGCAAGGCCTCACACAAAATAGATGTACACACACACACAAATAAATATCTGAGAAGCAACTACTTGATAAAGTCTAATACTGACAACTTGACTCTGAATTCTTACTGAATAAACCCTTGAGATAATTTATCTAGTAGTGTTTAGTGTTTAATGCTGAGAGGAATAAGGCTTCTTATCTAACATCTGGTGCTAGAGGTGCTACTGGGTTGGGGGTCGGGAAAGTAATGCGGCCTACTTACAATGAGTGGGTTTTTCTTATTTTCTTCCTCCTAACAATAACTAATTACCAAACTTACATAGGTAGTGAAACAATGCTGCAGTCATGCCCTAAACCCTTTGCTTTCTCACAGATGATTCCAACATGTATTGGGGGATGGGTCATTCAAAATTATAGTTAATATAATTGTCTATGGCTTTGTCAACCAGCAGCCTGTTAGTTGTGTATTTTTCCTAGGGCTGCAGGTTGCTGAGTTATTAAATTGTGCATGAAAATTCCTTTAGCAACAAAATTTTCCAATTTCCAATTTGACTGAATATGCTACCAGAATAGTTCAGCATAGTAAAAATAATCTCGAGTGAGCTGTAATTTTGGTGACTAGACATTTATTATTAATTTACTTTAAAAAGACAAAGGAACAAGAAAAAATCATGTTTCTAAGTGAGTCAATCTAATATACTTACAATGTCTGTGATCCTGTGACGTGATATCAAACAGCAACAAGTGAATTAACCAATTAGGGAAAAAGTCAACCCTTGAACTCTTTCAGAAATATTCTCTGTGAGTCTACATAGAAAAGGTACTGCTTTTCCTTGACAGTGATCTAATGCTAGTGAAGGTGATTTGGTGTTTTAGAGAAGCTTGATTAAAACACTGCACCAGAGTTTTTAAAAATTTCAATTCAGAGGAGTATGGAAATTAGTATGAGGGAATCATGCAAATTAGTACTGGCCTACAGAACTGTGTCCTAAAGGAATCATTTATATTTTAAAAAGTAAATAGAAAATTAATATTATACGAACTTTTCTTCCCCAGCAGATGCATAAGCTCTGTCTCTTTATGGGTTGAGGTTCAGGGAGAATTTATAGAAGAAAGAGACCTTCAGACTCTATCCTCTAAACAAATTTCCTTGTTATAAGCCTCTACATTTACCTCTCTATAAATGGATGAAAATAATTCGTGTCAGTCATTCTTTATTTTAGGACATATTACGCTGAGAAATCAGATTTATTGACTGTTAGAATTTTCTACTTGAGTTATTATAATTATTTATTTAAGTATAATGATGGCTAACATTTAACTGAGTGCTTCCTATGTGACACTCTCTGTTCTAAGCATGCAGATGTCTCATTTAAACTATAATAGTCCTACAAGAAAGCACTATCACGATCTCATTTTAGAGATGAGACAATTGAGGCACAGAGAGTAACTTACCCAATACCAAGTAAATAATCATCCAAAGTAAGTTGATAGAATTAGGATTCATGTTCAGATAATTCAATACCAACCACGATGATATATAACCTCTTCTATCACACACACACACACACATTCAGTTGTAGGTGTCTTAATAGCATTAAACAATAAGTCGAGGGCCAAGGCAGGAGATACTGACCTTGGTCCTGCAGTAAAATTCTTTGGTGAGAAAAATCCATAAGAGATTGTCTCCAGGAGAATGAGACACTGCTTGTGGCCGTGGATTCTGGACTCTAGCAACTAGTGAACAAAGACAGCAAATAAAACCATGCTTAGAAGAGCCATGTAAGAAGAAAGCTTAAAGTAGAATGGAGCAGAATGGAGGAAATGATTTCTTCTACAGAGGACGGGGCAGAGGTGGGGATGGGTAGCAGAAAAGAAACTGTTGGTGGAGAACAGGAAATGAACTGAGTCTGGCTGCACAAGTAGGTTTCTGTCTGTTCTACATGAAGAGAAGGGCCACGGAACTGTATGAGCCAGTGGAAGAGACATCAAATCACAAAACAGATTTTAAAAACTTCTGAACATGTACAGAAACAATAGCTAACAGCAATCAACACCTTATTGAGATTTGTATTGTATTTATTCTGCCTCATCCATTATGAAACTACTTTATTAATCCTCAAGTCCATTACCTTTTGCCTGAGAGCTATTTTTTTATAAGAGGAAAAAAGAAGGATTTATTTTTACAAAGTAAAGAATTGATGTGAATTAAGCTATATTCAGAGTGGAATGGCTCCGAATGAAAAGGAATGCATTGGAAATTCACAGATGAAAATGTCATTCAGGTATATGAATTAACCATTAATTTTTTAAAAGACTTTTAAAAATATAATATTTTAAAAATATATTAAAATATTTTTCAGTTATAATTTTTTTTTCAATCTACCCTTCTGCATAAGCATACAGTGAAGAAAGCAGTGAAACAGCAAGGGACAATAAGAATAGGGGAGGAAAAGAACTAAAATTTAAACATACATATTTGATCACATTGAACTCTCACAAGATTTCTGTGAGGCATTATTTTCTCTTTGTGATAGAGGAGGAAACTGAAGCTAAATGAAGGTAGTAGTTTACCCATGGTTATCCAGCTGATAAGTGGTAAAGATGGGAATAGAACTCAGGTCTGGTGACCCCTAGCACTATGCTGTTATCAACTGCACTTTACTACTTCCCTGCATAATAACAGAACTTACTTAAAGAGTTACATGGAAAACAGTGTTTTCTTATCCCAAGACACAGACTTCAAGATAGATAATAATAATTTTATTTTATAATTTAGTACAGTCATAGTTTTGTTAGCATTTATCTATTTAAAACATTTGACACACATATAAGAGGCCACAATATGTACCCTAAGATAAAAATCAGGTATTCAAATCAAGGCAAATATACTTTTCTAAGCATATGTGAATTGTGCTGTTCTAGTGAAGCATAACATACCAAAGGCAGAGGGATATTGATACCTATAGATTCTGCTATTGGTTCATCATTAAAATTTTATTTAAAACAATATACAACATTTATTTGGAGCTAGCTCTCGTTACCAATGTGTTGTACTGTTATCTACTCGGGCACTGCAAAGGTCAGATTCAGCGAAGTTGTCAGTAATAGATTTATTTGCAAACCACTGACTCTCCTGCATTAGCTCTCTGTTTATCCCAGGACACTAATCAGGCTGCACTTATACCATCCATCATCCTGAACAACAC